CTCTTATTTGACCAAAGCCAAAACACTTTTAGAACTAGTGAGCTATAAAAAAAAGTTAAATGAACTTATTGTGTTTTAGTTATGACTGAACCTTGTAGATTGATTTACTATTCTCCAACCCTCGATGGTCTCATTTCAATCACAATTTAGGTAATATTCAGCATACTTAAAAATAGAAAAGGCGCATCATTAAGCATACTTAAGTATTGAAAATACACTTGATAGCAGTAGAACATTACCAAATCGAATTGATTACTCTCCCCCAACCCGTCTAGCCACGACAAAAAGACCCGAGGAACGAAATAACATATTCAAAATGAATGAGAACTAACAATCTAACAAGAAGCAATCAATAACTGGATTTTGAATCCATCATTCTAACACTTATGTCAAAATCTAGTCTAGCAAACAAGCAAACAATAATTCTGAATGATTTCCTACGATCTTGTCATAACACCACATAACCAAAAAGTAGGATATGAAAGATCGATAATTAATCAGAAGAAGAGATTTATTATTTAAAAGCAAAAAGAAAAATTTCCAAAAACTCGTTTATTTTAGCAGGGGAAACGCAATTCCAAAATTGTATACAACAACCCTACGCATTCTTCAAAACCTTCAAAACCAAATAAAAGACAAGTCAAACAAGTCAATTTTTTATTAAGACCACATGAAATCTTAGTAAACCCCAACTCAACCCTAATCGAAACTGTTGTTAGGAAAAGAAAACAACCACAGAATCAATAGACACAATAGACTAGACTCAAAAGAAAGAAACGACACAAAAGAAAGAAAAGGCTGCAAACAAGAAAAAAATCCGCTCAAAGAAACACTCAGAAGAATACTCCGACAGGCTTTACTCATCAGTGAAGAACGTCCTGAACAGGGTCTATACCCGGCCTTGCCAACCGCGCTAGAAAACACTCTAAGGCACAACCACACAATTTTAACTAAGAGTGGCTTTAGGATGAGCAACTTACAAAATAACCAAACTAACTAACAAGCTTTTGCAAAAATAACTACTACGATTAAAACTAAAACTGAATCACTGAAGTGCAGATTCACAAAATCTAAAGACTTCATGGAGTTATTGAAACGAACAGCAAAAGGAAAAAGAAAACTCGACAATTTCCGACTACAAATGGCAAATTTATTGGTTTTGCTTGCCGCATTCACAATCTTTATTGAATGTAAAGTTTGGAGCCGACATCTCAGCAAAGGTATCTATTGAAAACGAACAAGGGCCAATTCGATATCAAAACTCAACCATACGTATTCTTGTCACTTGTCGCTTCTCACAGAGAAGTCAAAACCTTGTCTCGACACTCAATCAACCCGAACGAATAATTGAGAATGGACGTAGCTTCGCTCTAGTTTTCAAAACCGATGTTTCATTAACACAAAAATCTGAAACTTGAATACGATCTTCTCGCATTCACAATATTCTCTCTGTCTCATCACATGTTCTTCACTGACGCAATCAAGCTACAATTCTGTCAACGAGTTTAGAGTATAGTCCATGCATCTTTCACAAGAAAAACTTTGATTTAAAATCTTCCTAAGAGCCGAATAGGTGAAACCAGTTCAAAACAAGTTTTCATTTTATATCTTGATATTTATCACTGTAATTTATTAAGAACTAACCAATCAAGCTCCATTACAAAAACTTACTATAAATTGTAAAGCTGAAACTGTTCTTGGTTTCTGCCAACGGAAAATAGTTTAGCTTGGAAATCAGTTGCCTCTTTCTCTTTTCTAATCTCGCAAGGATACCAATATATACTAGATCTATTGAGACAAGGAATTATAAGAGTAAGATTAGGAGTGTTATCAGACAGAAATCAGACATTGTTATCAGACACAAAATATTGCAGAAACCTAACCGGCCAAAAATTAGATATCGTGACTTACAGACTGTGTACCCTATCCAAAATTACTCTATGAGAAGGTCATACCGGATTTAAACTCCAAACAAAACCCCTAATTTTGCCGAATTTCCTCCCATTTTTTTGCTTTTCTGGAAAATTTAGACCTACAAATTGCGTTTTTTCGGCGAGCGCCTCCCTTCAACATTAGTGTATATTGGGTCCCAGTGCGCTTTAGAAAATTTTAGGCTTGGTCGGCGGAAAATGGATGTTCACTAAAACAATACCAAAGGGGGAACCTTTGGTCATGGAGGGGGTCGAATCCCTGAAGAAAAAAGCGTTCGACGGTGAAGGTTTTCAAAATGTTTTCCAATCTATTTTCTGATTGTTTTTCGCCGTACAACTACAGATAATTTGAGTTATTTTAGAACTTTTTAACTAAGAATTTTTTGTCATTCAACTGATCTTTGAACAAAACATTTCAAACTAATTGAAACGGGCTGGCTTTTTTTAGCCAACCAAATTAATGCCTAATAGTTGCGGTTCAATAAAAATTATACATCCATTTAGGCAGAATAAATTAAAGACCCATAACCATTTATAATTACATGGTTCATTTTTAGTTGAAATTTGTACCAAAAATTTAGTGGATCGCCGTCTCCTTGAAGGCGTATAGCTAGTGAATTTTGATAGTTGATCTCAGTTTTGTTCGATCTCTGTCGGTATAATTAAAATCAGCTCAAAGGGGGCGGGGATATGACCTTAATACTTGCGAAAGGTTACGCTTTAATTTAGTACCAATTTAATCAATTAGAAGCATATTTGCATTTCACTTGAATTTATTTGCAGATAAGATGCTTGAACGGAGAACTTCAAAAGCATTTTGAGTAAAATCAAATTGACTCGACTAGAAATGGGACTTTAATTGTGGTTTTTGGGACACATGACTTGACCTGACCTGATAACATAAATTTAAATTGATTAAAGACTAGACAAATCAATACAGATTGCAGACGTGTTCTTAGTGTGGTATTGCTTTTACTTTGATGTTCGTTGATATGATTTGCAAAATCACCTTCTAAACTTAGCTCAAAAAATTAAAAACTCCGGCCAAACAGTTAAGTGGAAATTTAGAAGTTTTGATAAAAAATTGTTGGAATTGGATGTTTTTTTTTTAAATTAAACACGTCATAAAAAAAATGGTTCGAACTCCAGCACATTTTTCCCGAAGAGTCGTGCGATCTCCTTATTAACTACCAATTCAAGAAAAGGGGTTGATTGTTAAGTAGATAAAGTTAGTAGAATTTTAGACCGATCAGAATTCAGCAAAACTTGAATTAAAACAGGTCTCACCATAGACAAATATAAGAACTCAGCCATGACAATATAATTAATTTCCACAAAAATTTGTGTCTTTTAGCGCTTTCTCCTGAATTTTTTTAATCAAAAAGTTTTCTGCGAAGACTTTTAGAAAATATTTTTGAATTTTTTTGTCTATTTTTGAAAAAAAGTATTGTTGGGTACACTTAGTTTTAATTAACTATCGATTATGCCTAAGAATGCACCATAAAGTAGATAGTTATTTTTGAACTTCTCAGGATACTCAATGAAAATTTGTAAAGGATCTTATTAAAACCCTATTGTGTGTTAATTGGATTTCAAGTTTTCTCATTTTAACCACTTTTCAGATCGGTGGCTCTTAAAACGCGTTTAAGAAAAGAGCTCCCCATTGAATTCCCCGGGTTGACCTCCATAGACCAAAACTGCTGATCATACAATTCCATAAATTAAGTCTATGAATAAATACGAATTACATACATTTCGCTAAAATGTTTGCATCGAATTTTCAATGATTTTTTTCTTTTTGTGTCATAAAAATCGTTGTATTTTAGTAAATAAAAAAGAATTTTTTTTGTCAAAACATGCTAATCGCACAATTTTCATATGGAAATTGTATGACTAGCTTTTTTTTTGTGATGGTGACAACAAAATTTTTTTAAAGTAGTTTCGAAATTGCCCCACTCTAGTTTTAATTTTGATTTTTGCGCTCAAACAAACAGTTTCAGAAAAAAAATCCTATTCAAAATTTTGATGCTTTCTTAATATCATTCGTGCGAGAAAATTCAATTCGTTTTCTATGCATTACAAATCCCTTGGTGACTCTAGTTTTGAGTAAGCAAGGTCTTTGTCACTACTGTTTAGCTACGAACACAACCAGAACATGTTGAGTGGAAATTAAATTTATAAAAGTAAAAGTTTTTGGCTTATGGAAAAATTCTTGTCATACTATTTTTGTAAATGAAAAATCACTAATCATAAACCTTTCATGCAGTTTTGTGTACTTATGGAATTGCATGAAAAAAGTTCTTGAAATCTATTTTCTCGAAAGTTTTAAGTATCGAGAAAAAATTACCGGGGCGTTTTCTCAAAAAATTACCCATTAAATGTTCTCAAGCGTATGAAGACAAAATCACAAATTTTTATCTGCGAGCGCTACCTCCAAAACATCCAACGAAAGCTTTCTATTCAAAACCACCGTTATTTTCTGTAAGCTCCGGGTCATGGTGATATTTTTTGGTCTTTGGTTCTCTTTTGTTATTTTATCTTCACCCATAACCATCGGTACTGCAAACTATCAAAATCAAAATAGAGGGACATTTGGGAAAGGTTGTTTGAATGAAATAATTTATATGCTCTCCAGTTGGTAATACGTGGCTATTTTAATGGCCTCATTTTACACCACGAAAATGACTTCTGTTCACAAAAAAAAATCAACCCAAGTTCAATTTTTCCAACCTAATTCTGCTGACGATGTTTTGACTGAATTGCCTTTTCAAATGCCTACATCTCAAGAAACTGAATATATTTTTTTCGAAACTCAACTGATTAATGACTGATTTTCGAATCTCAACAAATCATAATAAATTTTGACTATGAATTAAGTTAGGAATGAAAAGCCAAAAATCTATTTTTTCAATAGTTACTCTCAGACACTAAGTACAAAGATACCAGACGCTCATTGTAAAAAAGTGTTTTGCTTTCGGCAGTTTCGTTTTTAAACACAAATGTTTTGTTGAACCATATGTCTTCTGAGCTGGAATCCATTCACAAAAAAAATTTGTGAATAAGCGAACACTGAATCTCTATTCTGAAGGTCGCCACAAGCGCTTCTATTTAATTTGAACTGAAACTAAAGACTGCTGCGTTCATCCTGACACCAACAAAATTTATATCATTTTCCTATTTTCCTTAGTCACATCTCCGCGTAGTAAAATAACTTAGACATCAAACCTATTAATATTTTAAATAGATCATAAATTCGATTATACTCGATTTATCTGTTTTTATTCGTTGTTAGAGTTACTTCGGTTTGCTAGTGTTGTACCTTGTTCAAACAACGATCAGAACTTCTATTCCATATTCGAAACACTTCGCTTTAAGTCTCTCTTTATTCTACGTGGGTATATTTCTGCTGCTTACACACGAGAATTATCTTTCGGTCCAACTATTTCTCAAATTTACTGCTATTTTACCGGTCATCATAGTTTTTTAAGTTGAAATGGACGTGAAAAGCGAGAAGTTAGCCTACTTCAAGGGAGCTGATTTGGCAGTTCCTGAAATCAAAGACGACACTTTAGCCCATTTTATTGTGAGGAACAGCGAGGAATACGCGCCAGATGACAAGATTGCATACGTAAGTTACGGGTGCCGGACATCAAGCCGACGGGACTTCAAGCCGATTCGTAAAATTAGGGACTTCAAGCCGAAAATTTTCTCATTAAGTCATGAAATAAGGTTAATTTGAAACTTTTTTGAAGAATTTCTCAATTTCATGATCTTTATTCGGTAATTATAAGCGTTTTCATAAGATTTAAACCTCCAAATGATGTTAAGGAAAGTTGAAAAATAAAACACAGTTGAAGGTAATTTTCTTGTTTATAATTTATGCATTTCAAAAAAACGGCTGATATTATTAACTAATGCCAATCCTAAGTAATTCATTGTCATAAATGACGCTTATTATGCAGCAAACTAGCCTACGATTTTGACAAGCAACGTTTTACAGATGACAAAATAATGATTTGAGGTGCTTGTAAGGTTTAATTTTCGGCCTGAAGTCCCTTCGGCTTGAAGTCCCGTCGGCCTGTTGTCCTAGACCCGTAAGTTACAACATTTTGTAGGCGTGACTACTAACTGTTTGACTTAACTGGCAATCATGGTTTAAAGTTTTTCCTCACTAAATATTTAAAAAAGCTAAATTTGATCAAAATATTTTTTTGATAGATCGTAATGAGTCGAAAAAAGCTCGCAAAAAATCGCAAATTTTGATAAGTTAAAAAAATCATTCGTTGAAGCTAAGAAATATTTCCTATTCATCGGATTTTTCCGCGCATATTTCATGAGTGTTGATTTCATTCATTGAAAATTGCACTTGAAATCATCTGCGAAGTGAGCAAAATGGTGAGCTTTTTCTTCTTTTTCTATCAATTTGACAGATAAGCTTTTCCAATTTAAACTTTTGCACCTCATTCGTGGCATGAGTTGAATATTTTCCCGCTTTTTTCATTTTTTCTGGCCATCATTTTTTTTCGGTACAATTATCAAGAGATGCAAGTAATTTTTGTTCCGACTATCCAGTAAAATGAGGTGTATGTATCCTTGGGGTGTTTTTTATAATCAGACCAATTTTATAATTAAATTCGACGCTGTACATCAGTGAGTAAAGAGGCAGGATTGTTGGTAGTATGTCCGGTGTGAACATTTAGGACTAATCGGAACTCTCACCACTGGTGTCTCTCCCCCTGAAATTATTTTTGATCGGTGGCGTGTCAATGAGCCGACAACCCGGATTGCCGAACAAAAGTTTGTTCCCGGCTAGTCGAAACTCTTCGGTTTTCTCTGAACCAAAATCAGTTTTTTTGAGTTACTCAATTTTTGTATTGTATTTAATAAATAAAAGTTGTTTCCCGTTTTTCTAATGCAAGGTTGGAGACTCTAAGATGGACAAAATTTGAGCAATTTCAAAGCAAAATCATGGCAATACTTTGAGAAAACTTGCTGTGGCAGAGACAGACGTCTGAAAAAAAAAAACATATAATTCTCGGCGCGCTCCCCGCTTCATTATTGTTATTTTATGGTTATTTGCCTCAATGATAGCAAAGACAGACATTTTTGTTCCAGCATAGCAAAAACGAATTGTTGCCGAATAGGAGGAGCAAAGAAGTGGCGTTTCTAATTCTATGAAAACAAACAAATTCTTGAGCAAATTTACCTCAAGTCAACTGGCACTTTTTGGTTGACTCATAGCTTAAAAAGCTATTATTTTTGGAACAATACGAGGTCAAACTGTAACCCCTATGCATTGGAAGCGGATTCCGCAACAGGCCAAAATCAGATTTGTCGCGGAATCCGCAAGTTTGCTACTTTTCTTTGATTTTCTTCACTGTTTTGGTTTCCACAAACAAATACCTAAAACACTGTACCGCTCAAAATTGCTCCAAAAGTAGGCGATTTTGCGGATTCCACAACCGTATTTGCGAAATCCAGAACAGTTTGTGGAATCCACAAACACACAAAAAGACATTTGTATAGTTAAACTGAGCTTTTGCGGATTCCGCAACTGTAAGTGGAATCCGCAAATTGCAAGTGGAATCAGCAAACTGTAAGTGGAATCAGCATTTTGTTTGCGGATTCGGTTTACATATATGTATATGTGTCTTATAGCGTTTAAAAATATGTTTTTTTTTACTAGATGGTCACCAGAAAAATCAATCTCAACTACTTCATTGATCAACAACCAGTTGAAATACCAAATATTTGGTCTCAATTCATACCAACCCAACTTCGATCTTAAATCCTGTCAGCTTCGATCTGAATTCAGAATCTACCAGATCATCAGTATTTGGGATTGATGGAATCCCAAATACTGACCAGTATTTGGGATTTATGTAATCCAAAGTACTGACCTAATTCGGTGATATGCTGTGCGTTGTGTTTCCAAACATTCTCAAGCCAATGACTAAAAATATTGAACTTATTCGGCGTTATGCTTCCAAAATCAAAATTTGGAATTGACGCAATCCCAAATACTGACATGTTTTGTTGATATGTTGTGCGTTGTATTTCCATACACTCTCAACCTAGTGACGACTTCAAATATTGAATGTATTAGGTGCTGTGTTTCCCAAATACTAAAAGTGACAACCATTGATTTAGTTAACAAATGTTTTGAGATTTGTTCGTTGATTCCGCTAGCAATGGTTAAGTCCTTGCCTTTAAAATCCGCATTGCTATAGATAAGATTTTCAGCTCTAGCTTTTTATTGTTCGTATGCAAGTTCAGTAAAAACAAAATTCTGAATCCATTTATAATTGCGGATTCCACTACTATTTGCAGATTCCACTTACATTTTGTGGAATCCACTTTTTGCGGAATCCGCGGTACAAAAAATATGCCAACAAAATTGACGTTACAGCTATTGCTACCCGGAATTCACGGAGAATTTGTAAATGGAATCCACTTACATTTTGGAACATGTTTAAAGGTTTTTCTATGGAAACCAGGAACATACAGACACAAAATTGTGCGCTTTAGACACAAAATAGTGCCAAGTAAGTTTGGCCTCGTAATGAATGATAAAAGTCCCAATTTAGTCATCCCGGTACTTTCTAATCATTTTTTGTGTTGTTGCTGATTCCTATAAAAGAAAATTTTTATTGTTCCGGTTTTCGTGCCCGGGGTTATTTTTTTTCTGAGACAAGTTCGTCTTTTTAATTAGCCGTTCTTGACGGACTTTTTAAAATGTCAATCGAAATGTATTGCTGTCCTGAGCTTAATTTTGAAAAACTATTTCACATGTCATTATTTGTTTTTAAAGATCGTCTCTTCGGCCAATTTGGTACAATTAAGGCGCGATTTATTTCGCGCTATTAACGCGTAAGCGCAGATTTACTCCGTCTTAGAAATCGTTTCAAATTGGTTGAAGGAAGCATATATGCCATAAATGATTTGTTACTAGGAGCGAAGTCTATCCCTTCGTACTATATATGGCGTTTGGGGTGATGATTTGCACAAACAATCTCAAAATCTCAAAATTAAAAAAGAAAAAATTTGTTTTATTCAAAGACATATAGTTTTTTAGTTTTTTTTTACTGCTCCATCGAACTTAAAAGGCAGTCGGAACATTCAGCGCTTCGCCCTGATACGAGCAGTCTTGTTTATTTTGGTTCTCCTTGAATGCAGCTCTGAGGGTAAGAGCGTTATCGTGGTCCACAACCAGAAAACTGTTCGTCTTATAACTTTGACGGCGAAAACCAATTTCTAGGAAAAAAGTTTTCAAACCTCGAGTTTTCTAAATTTCAAACTTGAGTTGACGATGCCATCACTTGTCCGGTTATTTAACAATTTCAGTTCAAAACAAGCTAGTTAAAATTTTGAAATTAGTTTGAACAAAAAAACCAGACCAAGTACAAATATTCCGTCATTTACTGCCAAAGTCACAACTTACTTTTTGTATCAATGCACAGCTTACAGTGTTTCCTAATTGCCCCTTAATTAGTTTTTTGGTGCAAAAAAAACTCATTACAAAAATCTGATTACTCTGAAAAAAGTCCCGTACACGCTGAAAAAAAAACTGATTAAGCGCGAAGTTAGCGTCTAAAAACCTTTCATTAAAAACAATAATTTTTGGATACCCAATACTGATTATATTTGAGCAGGACTAAATCAAGGCTTAAGTGGTAATTGCAGGAGCTTTATCGAGCGTAATTTATCTGAAATTGGCTAGATGGAAAATGTCAAAACTGCTAAAAATTTACAAGAAAGTGATGGCAGCTGAAGTATCGTTCTATTTTAGTCTGTTTCTTTAAAATACAACCGTCCAAATGCTGCCAGTTGAAATTTTTGGGATGATCGTAAGAAGAAAAAACAAACCAAGACCTAAGATTCTGTCTCATCTTTGAAAAAAGGAAAAATATGTGTTTTACTTCAAAACAATTTGTATGTCTGAAAAAATCATTTGGCTGGAGATTGATTTTTTTGGAGACTTTTTATTGATTTTTTGAAGCTTAATTTCAAAAAAAAAACAATAATGTTTTTACAAATATTTTAAGTGTTCAAGCCTTTTTACGAAAAAACAGTCGCCGCGACAAACATCGCTGCTTCGCAAGCGTACACCAGATTATGAAAGAAAACCAACAAATTGTTGCAATGGAATCAAAAGCACACGTTTCTGAAAAGTTATTTTGAAAAGTAAAAGTTGATTTCATGATCAAACAGCTCAAACAATGGGTCGGCATGTTTTCATCTGGGGGATAAGAAACGAAATTTAAACAATGTGATATATGTATTTGTTAAGCAATTGTATCAAGATTGCTCCAACAAGAACAAAATTTTAAACATTTTGTTTTGAAATGCCCTAGCACTAGAAGGAGAAAAATTATACAATGAAAATATGCTGAAGTAATGAAACTTGATCATGTAAAATCAAACTTGAAAATCTGAAAACACATTACCTCCGGACTTTGTAATTTTTTAAGATGCGTAAAAACTGGTGATTGAAAGATGAAAAATCTTTAATTTGAAAAACTGTTGTTTCGACAAGTCAATTCAAATATGAACTTCAGTCTCGTGTTCTTGTTTTAATCAAACACTTTTTAATTATCTAACATTTTTAACATTTGAAACAAAAATTAGATTGAAAGCTCAAAATTTTCAAAGCTCGGGATTGCAAGAAAGGCTAACCGAATGAGACTTCTGTATCTAAAGTCAACGAAACAAGAACGTTTGCATCAGAACAAAACTCTGAATATTCCAACTGCCCTTTAAAGCTTTTCTCGGAAAGCTTTTGATTAAAAAAATTGGCAAAATTGAGTTTTCGAAATGTTAATTTTGTAATTAGTTATTCCTCCCAAACAGCAAGATCAAGTTTAAAAGGTTATATTTTGAGTCCTTTAAAGAATTATTAAATTTGATTATATAGCTGGCCTTAACTCAATTTGGAATAGCTTTGTTCGCGAGATCACTCAGTACGCATCGAAAAATTTTGCGTGGTTTTTTATGCAGCAAACTTTTGACTTTTCAACTCAGCATTTTCATCGAAAAAGTTTTTCAGCAGTCTGAAAATTATTGTTGTCCGGAGTTCAAGTGTAAATAAAATCACATGTGATTAGTTTTTGTTAAATTATGGGATTTTTAAACTTGCCTTTTCGGCCAATCTGGAATACTCTGCACCCGATAATTTGCTTGTGACAGAACGCGTAATGTGCGGATTAAATCAATCCAACATTTTTTGCGACAAGCTGTTTGGGACCAAGTTAACATCCTCACCCCTAAACACGTTTAGGGGGAGGATGTTAACTTGAATCTAAGTTGGGAATTTTCAGCCAATCAGAATCGAGCATTTTACATGCAGCACTTAGCAAATTTAATTTAATTTAAGCGCTGACTTGGTCTATCAGGGGGCGGGGGTGTTTTAAAGGTTAATACGGCTTAATTCAAAAAACTATTGTTTTTTGGATTGACATGAATGATTGATTGATCCGTCGAATTTTTGTCTAAAGATACAATAAGAGCTATCTAGGAGCTGAACAAATTACTTAGTTAAGTGTTTTTAGAGAGCCAAAAAGAATCCAAAACGAGCTGCAACAATTAACAGGTAAAATCCTGAAACATAAATGAAATTGGGGAACTCCCGCTTGACCCCTGATGCTCTAGTGTAGTTTTTCGTGAACACATGGACAAGAGGCAATGTCAAGCACAAAATGATAATTTTTGCGTTTTTCAACTCAGAAATTTCATCGCTTAGCTTGATTCAATTAATTCTGAAGTTATGCCCTCTTATGAAACCTATTACAGAATAATCACCCCTGTATACAACAGAAAACAATGGTAAAATTATGCGGATTTTGTATCTAATGAAGTTGTTCTGTCTTCCGCTGTACGGGTATATAGTTATGCAGAACCAATTTGCTGTCTAATTACTTCAACGCCTACGCTACGAGTTAAAACTAAACAAGACTGCTCGCATCAGGGCGAGGCCCTGAATGTTCCGACTGCCTCCTAAGGTCTATGTCGCAGTAATAGCATGAAAAAATTAAATGTAAAAAAATAATTTTTTTTCTAAATTTGACATTTTTTGTGGAATTCATTCCCCCAACACCATAAAAAGTACAAAGTGATAGATTTCGCTCCTAGTAACAAATCAATTATTGCAAATAAGAGTCCTTCAACCAATTTGGAACGATTTCTAAGATGGATTAAATCTCCTCTTACGCGTTAATAGCGCGAATTATATCCCGTTTTAATTGTCCCAAATTGGCCAAAATGTCAATCTTTAAACCCCCATAACTTTACGAAAAATGATCACAGGTAAGATATTTTTTCAAGTTTAAGTTTAGGACAACAATACCTTTCGAATGATATAAAAAATCCCGTCAAAATATTGAAATTTGTCTGAAGAAAACAAACCACTCAGAGCACAAATATTCCGTTAGTTTCGTTACGAAAGTCGGAACAATTAAAAAAAAAAGAACAAGGCTACTCGTATCAGGGCAAAGCTTTTATTGTTCCTTCTGCATTTGAAATCCATGAAAAAGTGTTCGGAACACTTGCTTATATGTCCCCCCTCCCTTCAGGAATTCGACCCGCTGCCGACACAAAAGGTCCGCCTTTTGGTATTATTTTAGGACATTTAGTTTTGACTGACCGACATAAAATCTTTTCAAAAGGCGCCGTTGGAGTCTGTGTATACTAATTAGGAAGGGGAGCGCGCGGTGAAAAAACGCGATTTTTTTCATCAATTTTCCAAAAAATTCCTGGAAACGCTTTTTTGGCCACAGTTTTTTCAAAAATGTGCCTGCCGGGCAGAGATTTTTATCAAAAAGTCTTTTTAGCGATTTAGGAGAGATCACAGAATCATTTGGTTGGCCTAAAACAAAGTCAAAAAGGTGAATTCAAAAGCCGAACTTGTCCGTCTGAATAAAAAAACCACCCCAAGCACGCCAGCTTCTTCGGCATTGTCAGTCTTTAGGCTCAGTGAAATCAATGAGTGCGCCTTGTTTGCAGGTTGATATTTCGTCGAATAACCGCACGATGACGTATGGGGAGTTCAGGAACAAAGTGTTCAGACTGTCGCATGCATTGGTGGGGAGGGGTTACGGGGTGGGAGATGTGGCTTGTATCCACTGCTGCAACATCCCAGAGTTCATAATAGTGCAGCAGGCGGCAGTCGCTGCAGGCATGGCTGTCACACTCTGCAACTCACTCTACTCTTCTTGTTAGTATATTTTTCTAAACTCAAAAACTGAACTTAATTGCAAATAGTTTTACCTCTGCGTTGGCGAAGTAGCAAAGACCCTCCCCAGGGTAGATTTAGGTGGGGGTATGATGCCTCTCCCTCAGCGATTCGATCTCATCAACCAAAGGGTCCCATTTTCGGTGTTATTTTATGACATCTATTTTAGGCCGACTAACCCTAAAATTTTTCTTAAGGTGCCTTTGGCGCCAATATATAGTAAATTTGAAGGAGAGCGCGGGCTCAAAAACGTGCATTTCTACAATTTGCCTGCAGCGCATAAAATTTGGTCAAAATAGGTTCGTTATACCGTTCTGGGAGCGCTCAAAAAAATCAATTTGGTCGAAACAAAAAAAAGTCGAAAAGGTTTTTGAAATCCCCCCTCCCTTGAGAAAATCCCCCGCCCCACCATGAGAAAATCTTAGATTAGCCCCTAGCCTTAACCGCCCTCAATCGAAAGTTAGGTTTTACGAGGCCTAACATGATTCATGCTCGTTTCTTGATGGCTAGGCAACATTTTTATTCCCAGAAAATAACACTAAAATTACATATATTCGTTGCTATAATGCACAAAAGGGGTTCTTCGTAAAGAGCCGAACTGCTTGTTTCTCGATCCTTTGTTTCGTGGATAAATCGTTTCAAGTTAAAATTAGATGAGGTGTCCCACCAGCTGAAAGACTCCAGCTCAGTCGTCATTTTCACCCAGGCTGACCAGGCCGTAGTGGACAAGTGTGTGAAAGCATCCTACGACAACAACTCAGAAGCACCTGACAAACCAGTCCCTACTGGTGTCAAGGTCAAATTTCTCCTTGTTGAATTTGTTTTTTTTCTGCAACAGTTTTATTCATAAAACATCGAAAAGAGTAAGTTCATGTTCTTTGTATTTAAAACAAATGAAACAAGAATAGCCGGTTGCTGTGCTTGTAACTAAAAAATACTCCGACCACGCCATTTTATAATAGGAGATGTACATCTGAGATAGAATTTAAAAAAAAAACTTTGCTACAAATTTTTAAGTTAGCGGAAGAATTGGTTCTTGAAATGTAAGAACCAATTAAAAGATACATCAAATATTATTTTGAACAAAAAATAGACGAACTAATTTGAAAATATGCAATCTGAAATTTCTAGTCTTCGTCTGAAACTAAAATGTAAAAAACACAAAAAAATACTTTTCCATTGACACAGACAATTTTTTTTAGAGTTTTTCAGATTCCAACTGACAGCTGATAAGGTGACCGCTCAATTAGCATGAAAGTTTGAAAACTTGAAAACGTATCCACTAGCATAGCTCTTATATCATTATGTTTCAGAAACACCAAATTAAAATATTGCGTTTGTTGTGAGTTGTTCGTTTTGTTTGATCTACTGACCTTTGGTATTGATTATAAACCTGCCAAATAGTTAGGTATCGACCATTGGTCGATCATTTCACTGTTCGAAGCTGTTTTAAAACAGACATTTTAATTGACACTAAATCTTTCTTTTTTTTTTAATTCCTAGTTAGTGTACAGAACTTGCACATATTCAGGGTTAGTAGTAGAATAAGTTATTATGGCGCAGTCAAACCAATCCAATCTGCGGGGAATTCCTGCATTCTGGTCGAATCACTCCATGGAGTCACCACATTCTTGGATCCACTGGAGCGACCAACTTCAATTGGCCCTTATAGCGAAGGAGAATCTGGACATCGACAATTTGACTCGACCAGAGGTACCAGAAAACCAGGTTTCAATCCTCGAACAGCCCACAGGAAGTGAGTCGGATACGGAACAAGCCAGCAGGGAGGCAACAATTAGGACTGCAACGAAATCCTACGAATACACCGAAGAGAAGAGATTAAAGGAGGAAAAAAATTCGAAGGGTTGAGAAGAGCAGAAGCCGACAAAAATTGAAACCCATCTTGTTTCTAGCTCTCAGTCATGAAGGGAAAAAGGTATTTTCGCAGAAAAACCCTAAAGTGAAAATTTCATCTATCTCCTTCAAAGAAATTTGGGACCTCTTGGTCCTAGCTTTTAATAAACCTCCAAACGTTAAACTTGAGAGGTACTAACTTTTAAATCGGAAATAAAGAGACAGGGGATCCTTTGGACAGATCTGAGGAGCCCTGACCGACCTAGCTATTACGTGTAACATTAGAGAGCCTGACGAAGCAGAGTGGATCAAGGAGGTTTTTATCTGTAATATGAGAAATAGCGAGACCCAACGGAGAGTTCTTTCCGCAACCATCAGTCCCTCGGAAGCCTTAAGTCAGGCCCTAATAGACAAAAAAGGATACTTCAATCATCCAAAACTAATGAACAAGGCAAAAGCGACCAACGAGCCAAGCTTCAAATCTTTTATTGTAAATAACTAAGTAAAAAAGGAACCATTCTCAACATCGAAAGAAGCAACACGTGCATGAAATGTGGAAATCCCTTCACAAAGGGACACCTAAACATCTGTCTAACCAGAGATGAGATTTGTAAAAACTGTAATTAGAGGGCCATTTCGCAAAATTATGCAAATCGAAGAACAAAAGATCAAGTGTAAATATTGTAAATGACTGTCAATACTGAAAATTGTAAATACGTCCGTCGGCAGATTCCTTGAGCGAAAACAAAAAAAATGTGGATTAATTAACGCCTGCAACGAAAACAATCAAAGCCTCGACGATGAGTACTCAGTATTGAGCGTGAGGACAATTTATGACCAAAATGAATTGGAAACAAAAAAGTTTTTAAATATAGGACTCGGGTGGAAAGTGATTGTACATTTGAACATACCTGTAGATTCAGCCAGCCGAGTGAGTTTTTTTTATAACAGAGCGTGTTACATGAGTGAAACTTCGCTACCCCAACTTGAAGATATAGCCTGTAGATGAGCGTACGGAACAAATGTACTGCGGTTTCACAGACAGTACAATTATTACTTCGGGAAAAACAGTAGACCGAATTCAATCCAACGGGTGGATATGTAAAGAGATCCCTTTTTTATTACGGGAGGGCACGAAAGAAAAATCCTGGGCAATGATAACCTTTAAAAACTGGGAATAGAAGTACAACAGAAGAAGTGTCCAGTGCTGATCTGTACAGTCAGCGACCCATCGAGGAAGAGTGAGTCAAGTACCTTGGAAGTCTGGACAAACGAATTTTTTGGGAATTTTAAAAATCTGTTGAAGAATCAGCAAGATAACAAACGATCCTAAAGTTACACATTTTTATTCCTCATTTCAACCGGTTCAAGCAAAAGGCAGAAGAGTGCCGTTACATTTATTGTCGGGAGTAAATGAGGAGCTAAAAAGGATGAAAAAAGAGGGCCATATTAAAAATTTCCAGAAATGCGATGAAGATTGCTTCATAAGCCTAATAGTGGTTACTAGAAAGAAAGACGGAACAATTAAAGTCGCTTTAGATTCAAAATTACTGAATGACAAGATTTTTAAAAATAAATACCAGATGCCCAACATTCACGAATTGATCGATAATGTCGCTTTACAATGGTCAGAAAATACCAGCGGGCAGGTCTGGTTTAGTAACCTCGATCTAAAGAACGCATATAGTCATTTCCAGTTATGCTGTAGGAAAAGCAAACAGTGCAGTTTCAGTATAGTAGGAGGGGATACTAATGGGACATAGAGATTTTTAACCGGAGTTTACGGACTTGACCATATTCCCAATGAGTTTCAAAGAGTCATGGACTCACCTTCAAAAGGAATCACATTCCCAAATTGTTCCATAGATGACAAACTAGTGGCTTCTAAGGGAACTATAGAAGAACACAAAGCAATTTTGCAAAGAATACTGGAGGCCTTAGACAAAAACAACATGGCAATGAAAAGGGGGAAATGCGCTTTTTTCCAAAGTGAGATAAAATGGCTTGGATTTGAAACTTCAGAAGCTGGAGTAAGACCTTTGGTCGGAAAAGCTGATGCAATAAACAATCTCCCAATTCCGAAAAACATCTCCGAACGTCGTTGATTCTTCGGTTCGATCAATCAGTATAATACTTTTGTTCCGAACCTTTCCATCTTAAGTTTCCCATTACGACATTTACTCAACAAAAAGTCAGTGTACTAATGGGATAACAGTCCTTCTATTGCATTCGAAAAGCTAAAATCCGAAATTATAATAATCACCGAGAATAGTCATTTCGACATCAAAGAAAGAACAAGATTAAAAACAGCTGCCTCACATAAAAGCCCAGGGGCCACACTCGAACAGTTCCAAAGGAGCGAATAAAAAACTTTTGCGTTTTCCTCGCGAATTTTAAATAACCACGAAATAAATACTCAACCAATGAACTAGAACTATTAGGTGTAGTCTAGACATGTGAGCACTTCAGAAAATTATTATATGATTCAGATTTCGAAATTGTTACAAACCACAAGGCGCTTTTTTCCGCGCTTTCGGTGAACAACAGCAAGTAAACTATGCACAGCAGATTAACCTGTTGGGTAATCAGACTTTTGGTATCTAATTTTAAAATTTCACATAATCCGGGTAAAGATATGGGATTCATCGACCTTTTATCTGGATTACTTTCAGGCAAAGCATTACCCTACGCGACTGGCTTCTATCGACGAAAATCGTAATAGTTTGACGAAACCATCTATTTTTATTCCTGTAAATAGAGTAAGTGTAGATCGGTCGTCAGTCGCTGTAAATAAAATTCGAAATACTTATCTCCCGTCGGAAACGATTAATTCAAGCGACGTTATCGGTCCAAAACTTACCGATACCTTTGTAGCTTCTTTTAAACTTGGAATTATTGCTGCTTTCGTTTATTTCATTGCCACTTCGCTAAAAGTTTGTAAGGATTCGCTAATTAGGTCAGAAAACTGCTCATCAAATTGCCTACCGATAGATAACTCCAAACTCAATTATAAAAGCATCTCGAATACGGATAAAGCCCTAGTATACTTCATTATGCTCAACAAAAATTTCATCCAACAAAAAATTAAGACCGCGGGTACATCATCCACTAAAACATCCGATTCTTAACTAATTGTCCCGGAAGAACGTAATATCGCCTTGAAATTTAAAGATGAGCTACTCAATAACAATCATGCGGACTTACTAAAACATTATAAAGCAAATTTATCCTACTATCAACTCTCCTTAAACCAGAAAACCATTGTTCCAAGAAGCTATTATAAATTATGATTAAGGACGAAAAAATTTATGGGACCTAATTACGACACTGAAGATGGGACGCCCACTGTGATTTCATAGATTTTAAATGAAAAACCATGTAAAGGACCTGCATACTAGAGACGAGCTGCTCTTTCTGGATAACAAGCATGTGGTGCCAGCAGCGAGAGGCTTTCAGCTCTATGTTGCACGAGTCTCAACCAGGCCAGTTCGGCGTGAAATTCCCGGCCGAATACATCTGGTGGCCGCATATTAACAGAAAAATACACAACCATGGCAACTCTTGCAGGCAGTCATTGAAAGCCGGTAAGAATCTTAAGGTTTTATTGGGATCAGAACACGCGAGCAAACTTCCGGACTTAACATTTACCAACGAAGAGATAAATTTAGATTTCGCCGGCCCTTTGGACGCTTTTTGGGGATCGAAGAAAAAATTTCTTCTTTGCATTGAACGTTCTACCAAATTTTCGTCTGCAAAATTCGTTAAAATTACTTCGCCGATTTCAGTTATCTCCTTCTTGAACGATTATTGCCATCTTCACGATTTTCCAAGAAAAATCAGATTCGACCATAGGTCGTGCTTCTTATCAAACAATTTTATATCCTTTTGCGAAAAATTGAATCTGGAAACTTTTTATTGTACAGTATTTGTAAAATATAATACTGTAAAATCCAAACTCCTCGCAATTTCTTAAGGATTACCCAAGTTGAAATCAAATTCTTCAATCGAAAAATTAATTGGAACCTACAGATTACCAAATAACCGTCGATCGGATGTACTCCGCTCAAAAAATTTTTCAATCGCACTTCTAACACCAGATGGAAAAACATGATTTCTGTTGATAATCGTTTAGATCAAGGACAATTGATTATGTCGGGCCGTCGCGAGAGGAACTGGGAGTTGCACGATGGGGCAGAGATCGGTTATGTCATGCATGCTTCATCAGACTCTGAAGCTGACCTTCCCCTGGCCAAGATCTCACCAGGAAACCGGACGACCCCAATTCCTATCGCCAAACGCAGACGATCACCACATATGAAACTGATCACCGCAGGTAATTTTTTAATAAAATACCAATCGGAAAAATGGAGACCCGTATTTTAATCTCGTCAAAGAGGCGATCATTGATTCATCGGATCACGCAGTTACTTTAGAAAATGGACACATTTTACGTAAATCTGATCCAGCAATCAAAGAAAAAATACTTCCGGGCCCTTCCAAAATCCTTGTTAATCCACAACCAAGACCTGATAGCATAAACATACCAAGTTTAGCTGGAAAGAGGAAAATGTCGCCGCCCAAGAAGACAATCCGGACAAACCCTCGGAAGAGGACGACCTTAGGGAACTTGACGCCGACACCTGGAAACACGCAGACACCGACAGAAATTATAGTCATTCTAGAATCACCACAAAAACCGACAGTTTCAGCTTTCTCCTCTTTTTCGCTAAATTTAATTTTTTAGGACGGCTTGATTGATGAGTAATTCAAGGATGTTGTCAACAACAACGCCCCCACTTGCCAAAAAACAGACAATAACGTTGGTTTGAGTGTAACAGATGAATATAAGAGCCCACTCTCAGAATAGGAGGAGCGTAGCGGAGCATAGGTCCCTGCCCATTCAAGCAGACTACCGGGACCATCAACATCTGGTTCAGCGACAGAACCAATGATGCTGGACAACACACCAGAGGAGACGCCCCTAATGACACTCAGACGAGACCATCGACCAGACCCAGAAGAAATGTGGGAACCCCGCAACTTTACGGGAAGCGCAGATACGTGGATATTTTAGACGAATCTGAGACGTTACCCAGACCCGAGATCGACTCAGTGACACCCCTGCCTTCTCCTGCTGGTCAACTTTCGACTTTCTTACCCCCCCCCCCTCACTAATTCTCCTCAGAGACAGACGATGGTCGCTAAAACAACCCTTACTTGGTCTTCTAATTCAACCCAAACGGAGGCCGCTCATTTAATCTACCTGAAGCCAACTTCGTGGAAGTCTCCCAATGGGAAATCCACGACTCGTTCAAATATCGACAAAGAACAGGTTTCCTTAAGCAAAATGTCATCGACTATAGACCAAGACTTGCGACACTCCTTTGACGAATTCGATGCAACTTACAATTAAAAACTCCACGAACTTGCACAAATGTTATTTGTAGACTATTATAAACGTTCTTTCTTATTTTTGCCTATATACATTGCCCTATCGTTTATCTATGTGTAGATTTAAGTGTACTTTTGATAATGCAGATTTGTTCAATTTCTTTGTATCATTAGTGTTATCTAAATAAATTCTATAAAAACACCCATTTGTACATATTTGGACATGCCAACCTCAATTGTAGATACTTAATTTTCGTTCCGTTCATTTCATTTGGTTTTGTGCAGATTGTAATGTTTGATCTCTCTACGTTGAAGGGGTAAATGGGTCGCTATAGAGTTTAGTTTTAGTTAAATGTACAACTTTATTTTGTTTCAGTATGGGAATGTTGTGAGTTAATCATTTTGTTTGATTTTTTGACCTTTGTTATTGATTAGATACCTGCCAACTATGTTACGTATCGACCATTGGTCGATCATTTTACTGTTAGTAGATGTTTTAGAACAGACATTTTATGACACTCATTATTTCTTATTCTTTTAATTCCTAGTTAGTTTACATAACTTGCACATATTCAGGGCTAGTATTAGAATAGTTTATTAGCGTTCAAATGAAAAAAAAAGTTTCTGAAAAATTGAAGTTTGGGCATCGGTTTGAGAAACTAAGCAGTTAGGAAGCACATGCAACTCTTATTGTCGTCATCAATCTTAACACGACCTGCAATGGCTTGAACCGAAGACTGGTCGCCGCGCAAATTGTGAATTGTGTGAAAAAATTGAGCATCTATTTCACAATCGGTCTCCATGCCTCCCCTATAACCCCTATAAAAAAACTGCCACCCCTAAGAATAAAATCAGTAAATTAACACAAGAGTGTTTTATGTCAATTTCATTTTTTGCTGCATTCTGGTTGGTCGAAATTTTGTTGGATTAACATTTTATTGGATTTTGCTTCCCCCCCCCCCCTCGCCACTGCAATACGGAGTTAATTCGTTTGCACGGTACGAAGTTCGGATCTCTTTAACAACCTCCCCCTTTTCAAGAAAGGGGGGGGGGGAGATTATTATGCAGATTAAGTTAGTCGGATCGCTTCACTTCTTCACCCTTTTGCAGGAGGGGGGATTCGTTACTAGGTACAAAAATTACATATGCTTACCCAAGCCCAGCAATCTTAGCGATTTTGTCAAATCTTGAAGAATCTTTGAAAAATCTTGAAGAAAATTTTTTGAAAACTTAGCCCGATCGTGTCAAGAATCTTAAAGATTAATAAAGATCTTTCAGAAAACTCCAAGAATCTTGAAGACACAAAAGACATTGAATCATTTCTTTATAACGATGGCAATTCGTACTAGGTACCCTAGGGGGGAATAATTGAAGAGATCCAGTTAGTCGAATTTTAGATCAATCAGAATGCAGCAAATTACAATTTTCAATAAAAAGCTCTGGTGCTAAATTTATTGTATCAGAGGGGTGGAGAAGTATGTTTTTGTGTGACATGTGATTTTAATTTTGATTAATTGAGTTTTGTATTTCGATTTTAATGCTAGCCGATACGATTTTCAATTGTAAAACTTTTATGCTAGTCGAGTTTTATGCTAGTCGACTCACCGCCGGCTGATAAGTCTTTAGTATGATGCTCAACTTTACACCCTACAGGCTTTATTTGAGTTTGTCACAATTGCCTGGAAAAAAAAGACACTTACGCCATAATTCTTTCCGACTTCGTGAAGTCTTCGGAACAAAAAAGTTTCGCAAGAGTAAGGAAAGTCTGTACGAAATCATTTTAGATTCCGGCCTTCTTCATTAACTTTCTAAGCTCCTTACTAACCAGAATATTTAAAAAAAAACATTTTTTGGACAAAAAATTATAAGGCGATAATTTAGAAGCTTTTTTGATCAGATCTTATCCTCGCTATCATGAAAAGCATTTTGTTTTTTATTTTTAGGAAATTTTCACTCTTTCCGCTGAAAAACTCGAAGTTTCAACTGACACCAGAGGGATCAAACTGATGCACTATCTTGACCTTTTGACCCCTGACACAGTAGAGTTCAACAAGAAGTTGCCTTCAGTGAAGATCGACTGGAAAACAACCCGCGCTTTCATTCCCTATTCCAGCGGAACCACTGGACTTTCGAAGGGCGTAGCTTTGACGAACTACAACATGTATTACCAGGTCAAGCAAGTAACGTAAGTTTTAATTGGGAAATGAAACACACACTTTTTGAAACATGGCTTTAAATAAGTTATTATCGGGAAACTAAACAATCTTTTTGAAATATGCCCTCAAGTAAGTTGTTATTTCTAAAGGCAGGCCCTGACCAAAGGAGATTTTCAGACAGCTAATCTTAAAAAAATGACAAGTTTTCAAAATTGCAAGCAGTATTTAATCGCAAAGGCTGGCGAAGTAAGATAACTATAGTTCATAGACAAAAAAATCATCCATGCACAAAAACCGAACGACCATGGCTCAGCGAACGACCGTTTCAGCATGATAAATTATTTTCTGGAATGGGGAATTTTCCTTTTATACGTGTAACGAGTATACGGGGTTTTCCAAAAAAATATGAGGTTTTTGTCGCAATGAAAAACTGCTCGTTTTTTTGGCTCTAAACTCGTCTGGAACACAAAAACTTCTTCCTCGTGTTTTGACAGAAAATCTTTAAAAATTTTATATAACCAAAAGAGTTTTATATTAATGTTGCATTTGATTTTACTTAGAAGGTCTTTGAGGCGACTCATTACGAAGCCAATTTTTACACTGGATAGGCGCACAATTTTGTGTCTGTGTGTTCGTCGATTCCAGAGACAATTCTTTAAACATGTTAAAATTTTGTCGGATTGCTCAAAAGAGAACAAAAGAAGAACAAAGGGAGCGTCCTTGCTGCGGAATCAGCTTACATTTCTCAAAAAGCACAGTTTGGCATCGTATTGCTGATTCACTGCCAAAAAAAAAACAAGCAAAGTTTTCGTTCCTCAGAATCTTCAGTAGACAGAAAAATAATACACTTTTTATTCGAAAAACGAGAACTATTCTTTAACCAAGTTTGTTCTAGCTTACAAAAAAATTATTACAGAGCTTTTTATTGTTCCGACTTTCGATACAAAAGTAACGGAATATTTGTGCTCGGGGTGGGTTTTTTTTTTCTTCAGACAAATTTCGACTTTTTAACTAGCCATTTTTGACGGAAATTTTTTATATCATTCGAAAGCTATTGTTGTCCTGAGCTTAAATTTGAAAAGACATTTCACCTGTGATCATTTTTCGTAAAGTTATGAGGGTTTAAAGATTGCCATTTTGGCCATTTTGACCAATTTGGGACAATTAACGCGCGATATAATTAGCGCTATTAACACGCGTAAGCGGGGATTTAATCCGTCGTAGAAATCGTTCCAAATTGGTTGTAAGACGCTTATTTGCTATAATTGATTTGTTACAAGGAGCTAAATCTATTGTTTTGTACTTTATATGGCGTGTGGGGGATGATTTTCATAGAAAAATTTTCAAATTTAAAAAAAAAAATTTTCATTTTATTTTTTTTAATTTAATTTTTTTATGTTGTTTATGTTAATACTGCTCCATAAACGTTAAAAGGCAGTCGGAACTTTCAGGGCTTCGCCCTGATACGAGCAGTCTTGTTTATAGTTTCGAACTGGTGGAACCCGTTTAATTTCTTATAAGCAATAATCAAGAAAAATAGCAATTTTGTTCAAGTCTTTTCTGTTTTCTAAAATGTAAGTCTTTTCTATATATATCTGCGCGTGAGTTTAATTGAAACGACTAAAAAAAAATTGGAAACTTCGGGTCATTGTGATTAAATTGTATCAAATGAAATTGAAAAATTAAAACTGGTTTGATGTAAATTTGCTCTCTGCCTTAACTATTACGTCCCATTTTAACTAACAACAAGGTGAAATCCCTTTAATAAATAATATAGTTTCACTGGTTAAGCATATAAAATTTTTAAACCTCGTCACGAGTGACCCTTTCGACCTCATCAAAAAGAGAATAATACCCGGGTTGACCAAAATTTCTTATCATACAATTTCCATATATGAGAAACTTCTTGTCATACAATTTCATACAATTCAATACGTACAGAAAATTGTATGAAAACTTGTATGATAGGTGTTTTTCCATAAACCAAAAAATTGATTTTTTGTTTCTAAAATTAATTTTTGAAAAATTTTGGTTGTGTTTGTAACCAAACACAAGTGACAAAGACCTTGGTTTACTCGAAGCAACAAAGTTTTGCCGGTCTCATGCTCTTACAATGCATAATTACGACCTGAATTGTCTTCGAGCTGTCTTTCACAAATGATATAACAAAAGTAACAAACTTTTAAAATGTGGCGAAATTTTTCAACGACGATAATTTTAAAAATTTGAATTTTTAAAATATCAGACCTTGATCAAGGCATACAAAAACACGCCATACAAAAGAAATAGGACTTTTCAGCGTTTTTGAAAAAAATTATACAGCAAAAAGGAAAAAAATCCCAACATTAGTGTATCCAGGACTACGTTATGCACACAAAAAATTAAATTTTGCATGCAAAAAATTTTTTCGGATAATGATTGTTTGCGTACAAAATTCGATTTGCGGTTGAAAAAAATACAAAAAAATTTTTGGGGCAAATTTTCAAAAATACTTTAAAAAAATGCCAGTCATACAACTTTCATATATGGGAATTGGATGATAAGCATTTTTTTGAAATAACGAAAACCTCTGATTTTTATCACCAGATTGTTTTATTAGAATCAACCAGCCGCAGAAATTAGTTTTTATCTATTTTCCAGTTTTCGAATTTGTATGAAAATTGTATGACATGCATTTTCCCACGCACTTGATGTATGGAATTGTATGATAAGCATTTTCGGTGTATGGAGGTCAACCCGGGTACTTAACAAGATCGTTTCTAAGAAAAAATTCCAGAATTTGTTACAATTTTTGGTTTTAACAATGTAACAAGGAAAATGTAAGATAGGAGGCTCTCAGGAATTTTTCTAATCCATATTTAAATTTAAATTTTGAAATACCCACTGCTCGGGATGTTTCCAGCTATGTTTCTGATCTCCGCTGGAAATTAATTGTGCATGAGAAGTGTTTCAGTTGGTCCAAGTAGTTATGAGGACCAGCCAACTTGTATAAGCATCGTCATTTTTTACTTACCTTTCGAAAATGATAAAATTTGTACTGTTTTAATTGGCTAAAAGTGTTAAAAATTTCCTCTACTTGACATATTTAGTTACGATTTTCAACCACCTTAACGTTATGCGACAATTTGCAACAAAAAACAACTCGCAATAAACGATAACTCACACTGAAAGACAACTCGGAATATACTCACCGATGCAGTCGTGCGAACGTGTTGCGAGCTTGCCAACAGAGGGTAGGACTATACGAAATTTAGAGCTGGTTATTGCCGCAAAGCGGCAACGTGCGTGCATCAAGCCCACAAGTAACCTTGAGCCGTCATTCTTAAGTTGTAAATTGATTCTTAAATTTTGCAATTTGTCGCTTTCCTTAATTTTTGCGAGTTGTCCTTTTCCTTTAATTTTGCAAATCGTCTTTTGTTAGTTGTTTTATGTTGCGAGGCTTTGCGGTACCATGGATTCATGTTGCGCAGTTTTTTCTCTGCAATTCTCGATTTTCAGAACCAAGTTAAGTTCTCCCCTTCTATTTTTAAACCCTTTCTCCGAAAAGTTAAATGCTTTCAGCCAAATAATTTGCTCTCGCATTGTAAGGATGAAGTACTCTTTTCCTCGTCTTTTTGAGTGAAATTACCCGGGTCACCGAAACCCATCCCTGGAGCTTTCCCAGGAGCCAGGCGTAGCCTGGGGATAACCAAAGACTTTTGTTTAGTAAACTAACCCGACGCTTCAACTTTTCCGTGCCTGAAAGAGTTCCGACTGTAAACTACTTTAAACGCGTTTTTGCTTTCAAAGTTATTCCAAAACATATCTTAGACTTCCTGACAGAGTTCTTGGATGGCTTCAACCGGGAGTTTCAGGATTGCCCTGTACTCTTTAAGTACTTGAGAGGAAGTTCAAGGTTTTCCCCTGGCTATGTATACTGGATATTGATTTATAAAATGAGCATGTCGTTTGTTTTACCCTTAACACATTTCGCTTTTCTTGATTAAAAAGTTTGTAAGTTTTCACCCTATGCAAGTATTAGTTTTTGATTTTATTTTCACCCCAATGTGTGTATCGCTAAGCATACTCTTGTGTCGCGTAAAATACTAACTTTCAATACAAGTTTTCTCCAAGTAAACTGGCGATGATTACCGTCGGGCGTTTTCAGAAACAGTGTTTGTCTATTAGATTGTCTTATAATAAGCTCTTAAAACCTACCGTTGGAAAAGAAACATTCAAGACATTTTTTCTACATAGAAAAACAGAGGGTTTTAACTCGAGGAAAAGTTTGACTTGTATTGAGATACCAAAGAGTTAAGCTAACAAATTGCACTGTTTAAGCTGTTTCTTGTCCACATAGGGACGAATTTTGGCATAAACTTAAAAGTTTTTAACTGGTTCTTATAAAAAGTTTTTTACGCGGAAAATATGAAGAAATGATAGTTTTCAGTCATTAGATCATCATTTACAATCATTATCAAGATATTTAAGCCAACTTTCAAAATAACTGGATATCTAGTTCTAAATAATGAGATTCAAATTATGATAAATTAGTAAATAGTGCAGGCGTTTCAATTTTTTTCCTTCAAATTTTCAAACTTTCTTTTCAGGGAGTTGGTTCACTTCGAGCCGCAAGATGCCTTCTTTGCAATCCCCCCACTCTACCATATCTACGGGTCACTCGTCTCGGGGCTAGTCTGTCCCCTCAAAGGTCTCACTACTCTTCTGCAACAACGATTCGACTTCGTCACCATGCTCAAAGGCATTCAGGCAGGGTGTTAACAAAAAATATACATATTTAATTTTTACAGGAGTGAATAGTCATTTTGGTTACTGCGAGTCGCAGTCTCTTTTCTATTCTCCTCATTTGAATTTAATTTTTGAAAAACAACAGTCACAAGACACAGAAATTGTAACTTTTAGTTTCCAAGCGATGAAAAGAGCAAACGTTTAAGAAGAGGGCAGCAGAGGTGATTTCATATAACCTGGAGAATTGTTAGTCAATTTCTGACTAACAGCCTGCCAAAACTTTTGGTTCTGTGCTATAGGAAGTTAATCCTACATGAGGGCCTAGCTTAGATCCTTAGGCTTCTAACGAACAATTACAAGTCTTAAAGTTTCAAACTGAATCTGCTGTTTACACGGACTTTTTGCACTAAGAACACTTCTTTAACGCCCTCTGCTTGAATAGCCAAACAACGCCATCAAAACAAGTTCAAACAGTTTATCAGAAAAAAAGCTAAATGAAAAACCGCAAAACCTACCTCTTGTCAAGCAGAAATCTCTAGCGGTTGTGGTTGTAGCTAAAACGGCAGAAATTTGAAGACATTTTTGTTCATTTCATCGCTTGAAAATCAAAAGTTGCTTCAAGGTCGCGTGACTGTACTTTATCATTGTCATAATGCAATGAAAATTTGCAAACTAACTATTTTCGTACAAATTTCTTTTTAATGCCTGATATCGAAACATCACGCATTTCGCCAAAATAAAACGAAAAACAATTAATTGAAAACTTTAGATGTGTGTGTGTGTGGGGGGGGGGGGTGTGGGGGGTTGTAGAAGAGCCCAAATCCCAGAAGATTTTTGTTTTTATAATCAACCAAACCGGAGGCCTAGTCCGTTGCTCATTTCATTTCATTTAATCTCATGATGAGCCTATTTAGCTATGGCCATTTTGCATGCGGTGACTTGTGAATTGCCTCGCACTTGGGATTTGATCCCGCAATCATATGATTGCTGAGCGCCATCACTATCCGATATGCCAAAAGGCGACAATCTAGTATTCATTAGTCCTGTAAAAAAAAGATTTTCAAGAAATTGTCACGACATTTTGCTTGTTGTAACAAAATTGGAACCTGATTTTGAAAAAAAAAGATTCTTGAAAACTGCATTCAAAACCCTTAGGCGTATAAAAACGAGCCAGATAGATTGCTGATTAGAACCTCCAACTGACAAACATTGGACAATAGTAGACTTAGGATTTTTGTTATTATTCTGTTCATGCTGTTTCTGATTACTTATTGTGATTTAACTTAAGTTTGGTTGCTTTTTACTCTTCGTAAAGACATGCCACAGCCTAGGATTTTCACAGGGAGCAATCTCAATTAACAAGTTTTTTTCAATTGATGCACACTACTTATCTGCATCTACACTTACCAAAATATTGTAAATGCGTTCAATGCGTTTGTCGAAAATGACAAATTGGCCGCAAGCTTGAACCGACAACAACTGTATTGAAAATGTCGTAGGTTGTGAACCACGTTTTTTTTTAAAACCAACAGGAATAATGGAATGCGCAAACACAAAATTATTCTATTGGTTAGCTATTGTACAAGTTCTCAAAGTTAGAAATATAAAACTAATAAAATTCAACATAATTGAAAAAAAATCTTCTTTTTTTATCCAATTTACATTTCTGTACGCGGCGTGAGAAATTAATTTGAAAGAATGCTTATAACAATAATAAAAAAGAAAAAAAATCAACCATTTTAGTTTGAAAATCTTAGACATTTTACACTTGATTTTTTTTTTGCTTTTCAGTTCTTAACATCTAAGGATGCGATGCAAAAATCTATATACACCAGTTTTTAAACACCAAACTCAACAAATTAAATTCGGACAAAACAGGATTTTTTATTTGAGCGAATCAATGAGGGAGCCGAAAGTATCATTTATTTTGAAAACCAAACATTTCTACAAATATCATTTGTCAACTATCGTATGATAGGTCAAAGTTACAAGTACAATAACCAGGAGTTATAATTGACAAAAAAAACTTGAAAAAGTTTTTCACATCAAATTTTAACCGTTTTTTTTTGCGCGCAGTGTAGGAAAAAACCATCGAAGAGCGCTGAAAACAATATTTAATAAGAAAACAATTCATTTAATTTACATTTTTTTTAGTTTTTCATTTTTTAGTGCCAGCGATGCAAAATGAAAATCTTTTTGAGGCAGCTTTTTCGAAAACAAAACAAATTATTGATAGCTTAGGAGGCAAAAAACGAATTAAACAAGGAGGCTAGTTTTTCGAAAATTTGATTATCTGCGGAATTTGGAATCTGGAAATTGGAATTTTAAAAAATTTTTGCTCGAATCGCAGCTGAATCAGCTTTGATAAAAAAAACCATCTGTTCTGTTGATTATTATTTGTTCTTGTTTATTCGAGAAAAATACTAAAACAAACCAGATAAAAAGTTACTTCACAGCTTTCAGAGATTTGACTGATGCGGTAACTAAGCTGTTAACAATTGGCTCATGGTTTTTTGACAATTCTTTGAAAAACTTTTTTCAACGTTTTTTCTTTTCAATGGCGAATTGGTTGACTCGCAGATGAAAAGATGCTGCAAAATATTACTTTCTTGAAAGCTAATCAAGAACAAATTTTTCTTCCTTTAACTGAATGATGATTTTCATCTGCTCTTCAGAAAAAATCTTACTAGCAGATAAAAAAGATGAATTTTGATAGTCTATCTTAAACTTCTGTTATTTTGACACCAAAATCACTATTTCGGTTCCTTTTTTGAAATCTAAAACCTGAAAATAACGACTGAAAAGAATTGAAAAACAACACGAGGTTCACTAATAAACTATTTGAAAACTGAAACCTGAAAATCGGTAAAATACTAGGCTTATTTGCTTTGAGGTATCTGCAATTGCCTAAGTGGTCGGAGATTTTGTAAATTGGAACAATTACAAAACAGGGCATTAATTTTGACTTCTAATATGCGAGATAAGTTGTAGTTTTCAGGTATAATGCGGTTTTCGGTAGCATTCATTTAGTTTTTGAGAAACGACCTACAAGTATTTTTTTTTATTTCGAGAATCCACATTTTGTTGCTATATTCAGCAATTTGCGGAGTTCAACAAATTTTTGCGGAACTTTCAAAAAGTTTTTTTGTTTTGTTTTCTGGGAAAAAAATTGCCCAAGAATTCATCGGAAAAATATGCAACCTTGAAATTGTTTAAATTTTATTCAGAAAAGAGAAAAATTCCAAATCTTACAGTTTTACAATTAATCAAACAAAAATATAACAAGTAACCAGATTCCGACTAGAATAATTTGAAAAAAAATATATTTTTTTTTGGGAGAAGATCAAAAAACTATTTATGGAATGACTAGTGACGGCTTCAACTGAATTGACCATATTTTTCTTTGCAAAAACCATAATAGCAAAGCAGATACAATTTGTTTGATTGTTTTTCAAGTTTTTCATGTTACTTTGAGGTTTTTGAACTTTTAGAGCTGACAAAGCAAGTTTTCACTGCTAAAAAATCGTTCTGAGAAGTAGTTACTATGGAATATCATCAAAATAAGATTGTACGTGCTTTAATATGGTTCTTAACTCAATCCATCTGACTTTTATTTTGGTACCTGATTGAAAACTAAATTTTAAAAAATGATAAACTACCCGAAATTAAAATTCCTATTTGCTTCCTAACGATGGAGCAATTAAAACTACAAAAATACTGTATAAGTTTAACACCCTTGATAAAGGACTTCAAAGTGACCAAACTGGCCCTGGTTCCGCCCATTATTCTGGCCATGGCCAAACATCCAGTGGTTGAGAAATTTGATCTGTCATCTGTCAATGAGATCCTCTGTGGCGCTGCTCCCATGCCGGCTGAACAGATCAAGATTGCCTGTGACCGAATTAACCCCAAGGGCAAAATAGTATTCACCCAAGGTATATTTTGGTTAACCGCATTGAATCGCATTTTATTATCGTGCCGAACTTTTTGTTTTTTGTAATTCAGAACATTTGGATGTTTTTAACTAACACCCCATCCCACAGGTATCAGAACTATTGAATCGGTAGCTGAAGATTATTTTTGAAGCGGTCTGGTTCGTAGAAAGGCATCCTAAAAACCTGTGAATAAGTGCTTCCTTGGATAAAAATTTAAGAGACAATAGTGCCCGTGTTTTTTTTGTATGAAGTAGCATAGCCACTGTTTTGTTAAGTAATCAACTTCATTTATTTATGGTGGTTTAAATGATTTATGCAAAAGTAACTAAGATTGCTGATTTCACATAGGGCGAAGAACCGGATTTTTTTGGAAAGGGACGAAGGCAGGCAAAAATAGGATAGGATTGTCGGTATGTCGAAGATACTCGAAGTTAAATTTTCAAATAGTTATATATGATCCAAGTTTTTTTGTTTATTTGTTTCTAGCAAAGGTTTTTTCTTGTTTTTTAGCTAAATCCATTCAAAACTGAATTATGTATAGTCAAATGAATTGAAGATCTAACACGCGAGATTTTTTTCTCACCCGGTCATAAAAAAAGCAGAATTTTCGCTGTGATGACACCTATTAACGGATTTGTAGGTTCAAATGTTGGCGTAGTTCGTAAATTTATTTAATTAACTACATAAAATGTAGCTTCCCCGAAAACAACTTATTGTTTCGACCATTGAACATGGGAAGAACTTCGTATTCGGGTGTGTTTTATTTTTTTTCTTTTTGTTTTCCACGCAAAATCAGCTAGCACAAATAATCATTGGACTGGGTTCAATGATATATCATATTACAGCCCTTTCATTCGTGATTCGACCAACATTAAATTTCGAAAAACTTTTCCCAGTGTCGAGAAAAACCGGTTTGAAATTTTTGATTATTCGTCTAATTTCGAGCAAGAGCGAAGGCTTACATTAGCGTATTTGTGCTTAATTTAAGCCTTGAAAGCTTATTTTTACTCAAATGAAGTTAGTTTTTGAAGTTTTTAGCCTCACCTTAGGAATCAAAAACTTCAAAAATTTGGAAACAATTAATTTTTTTTGTTGATTTTTTTTGTTTTTCTTGTTATTCGTCTTCAAAAATTGTTTTCCATTTTGCATATTTTAAATTGACTGACGAAAATGCCTGCGCTCTATTTTTTCGCTCCGATTCTGTTATCACATCACGCCGAAAAAAACTTCACTAATTTGAAAAAATAATGTCATTGGTTAAGACTGGTCGGAACATTCTGTGCTACTTGCACAGTAACTGGCTATCCTTGTTATCAGTATGATTATATCGCTACTTCAGGCTATGGGATGTCAGAGAGTGGAGGGGCTAGTTCGGGCACTCCCCCAGATGCACCCTACGAGTACATAGTTCAAGGAAGTGTGGGCATCGCCATTCCAGGCAGCGAAATGAAAGTAAGCAAGAGAGAAATTCAACTTAAAACATAGCACCTTTAGAAATAAATTTTAATTTTTGAATTAAAACACCAAAATTTGTTTTTGAAACTGTTTGCGTCGGTTGTGATACTGCCCAGAAATTTTATGATTGCGGGTTCAAATCGCACGCGCGTTGCAATTTACTAGGTGAGTTCTTGTAATATAGCCATAACTTAACCTTCAATAGTTAACCTCTGGCTGGTTAACTATATAGAAAAAAACAAAAAGCAGATATCATGATGTACTCGAATCACCGACTTTCCAATAGCAGTATACCTTATCCAACTTGGCTTAGATCAGGGGCGGATCCAGTTTTTTCTCAAGGGGTGGGGGTGGATTTTCGGAAAAAGTCTACCTTTTTTCAAGTCGACTAAATCGATTCTTAGTAGTATTCATAATATTAAAGAAGTTAATCAAAGTTTATATATATTGGCGCCTAAGGCACCTTTAGAAAATTTTGAGGGCTAGCTAGCCAAACATGGATTTTTCAAAACAGTACAAAGGGGGGACACTTTGGGTCGGCAGTGGGTTGAATCACTGAAAGAGAAGGGGAGACGCCCGCTCCCCCCCCCCCCCTAAGCCCGCTACTGGTTTAGATAATGAGCATTGAGACGGGTGAGACTGAGTTGTGTGGCGTGGAGGGGGAGGTGTGTATGAGGGCCCCCTCTCTCATGCAGTGCTACTTGAACAGAGAGGAGGAAACCAAGAACACAATCATGTCAGACGGGTGGCTCAGATCAGGTACTGTCTCAAGTGTATTATGATCAACTAGCGCGAACGTTAACTTCACCAAAACGACATTTTTTGGATATAAATTTGATTGGCTAATACTATGTTATAGTGTAAGTGATTAGATGTCACAGAACTTTTGGCATACAATCACTTTTTAAACTGGTACATGAAGTCAGACTTAAGCATAGCATAGAAGGGTCAGGTCAATTCTACATCCAGAAAAAAATGTAGTTTTGGCGAAGCTGTTCTTTCGCCACTACCAAAAATACGGTTTGTGAGAGTTGTGAATGACCAAATTAGCTTGCAATCACTTTGAAGGACAGCAAAATAAGAATTCTCAATCCGAGGAGGCTCTAGTGCTAATTTACTGTATTTATTTATAGAGCTAGTAGAGAGTCTTAACTAGATACCATAGGAGGGGGGAGGGGGGGTATTTATAAGTAGATCCGGTAGCGGTCGTTACTTGCCAATGCCGAAAACTAGTCGTGAAAGTACTCCATTTTCGGGTTAGTTGACGTTCGGGCAAGATTCCAAGGGATCAGCGGTTCACCGAGCCGAAGAGAATAACCAAACTGTCTGACTAATAACTCAAAAAACCGAGAACCAAACAGAAACATACCGAACGCAGCCGAATGAAAAAATCGCCCCAATTGATCAGGTACTAACTGATTCCTAGCTATGCTGGAAAACAATAATTGGGTACTTTTTCTGTGATAAAGAACAAATAGAACGTTTTTTGTATTGTCTAAGCTTGATCATAAAGCTCAAACTTTGATTGGTTAAAATGTAATAAATATAATAGATGACAGAAAGTGAAGCAATACGTTTCAAATCGCTCTGTGACGCAGTTGTTATGGCACGGGTTGAGGAGCTCGACTTGTGTTTTGACTTTGAAAATCGAGCAAGTGCAGTTTTGCTACTGAAATTACTGCGGTCGAGAAGTAATTTTAAGTTGATCACAAAGTCGTAAAAAAACCCTATTTTGATCCAGGGCGTCAAAATATACCCGATTTTGGTCGAGAAAGTCGAAACATAGGTCGAGCACAGTCAAAACATGCCCATTTTTGGTCCAGAAAATCGAAACATAGGTCAAGCACAATCAAAACATACAATTTTTGCTCGAGAAACACAGTCGAAACATAAGTCGAGCAAAGTCGAAATATACCTAAAGCACAGTCGAAACATAGATCGAGTACAGTAAAAAAAAATATCCGTATTTTTTTTGTATTTGGTCGAGAAACTCAAAAAATAGGTCGGGCACAGTCGAACCATAGGTCAAAATATAGGTCGAATACAGCCGAAGCTTAGGTCGAGAACAGTCGAAGCACACCCAATTTTGGTCGAGAAAGTCAAAACATAGGTCGAGCACAGTCGAAACATAAGTCGAGCACAGTCAAAGCACAAGTTAACATCTAGCGAAGTCGAAATACACAGATTTTCGTCGAGAAAATGGAAACCTTTGTCGAGCACAGTCAAAACATAGGTCGAGCGCAATCAAAAGATACCTTTTTATGGTCCAGAAAGTCGTAACATAGGTCAAACACAATCAAAACATACCATTTTTGGTCAAAAAAGTCGAAGCATAAGTCGAACACAGTCGAAAGCTAAGTCCAGCAAAGTCGAAACATACCTAAAACAGTCGAAACACAGGTCGGGTACAGTCGAAACATAAGTCGGGTACAGTCGAAACATAGGTCGAGTTCAGTCGAAACATAGGTCAAGCACAATCGAAATAGACAAATACAGTCATACATAGGTCGACTATAGTCAAAACATAGGTCGAGCACAGTCGAAACACAAGTTTAGTATGTAGCAAAGTCGAAAAACACGGAGTTTGCTCGAACAAACGGAACCTACGTTGAACACAGTCGAAGCAAAGATCGAGTACAGTCAAAGCAAAAGTCGAACACAGTCGAAACATAAGTCGAGCAAAAAGGAAGCATACCTAAAACAGTCAAAACATGGGTCGAGTACAGTCGAAGCAAAGGTCAAACACAGTGCAAACATAAGTGGAACAGTAAAAAAAACTGACTTAGAAAAGCAATTTTAGCAAATTTTTGCTGACAGAACTGGAAGACAGATGCAAATAGCACAATAAACGTGTTTCAATGTGTTTTGAATGTGCGGGTAGCTTGAACAGAAAAATAGCTGGTCATTACAGAACCGCTACAAGAAGGCAAACACGTGGTTCCAAAAATTAATTGGATATTTATTTGGTGTAACGTCAAAATTGTCAAAACAAAAACAGAAAGCCAAAAACAATTTTAAAAAAACTATTCAGTCGTCATTACAACATTAGTCGTCATTTTATTTAAAACTTTTATTTAAAGGATAAATAATATGACTCAGCTTGGAGTTAAAACTTTGAACGGTTTTTCAATTTTTCTTATTTTTGGAACCATATCTACGAATCGTCAGCACCAAAGAAAATTTTTTCTATTTTTTTAACAAAAATTAGAAAAAATTCTGTTTCTCTTGTTTTTTGTTCAACATTATCCCGAACTTCTCCGAAACTGTATCTACATTAAAGTATTTGACGATTAAAATACTCAGGGCTTCGTGCTGATACAAATAGCTTTTGCGTTGTGAATTTCAAAGAAAGAGACCAATTGTTTGAACTCGAATAGTTTTTCTAACCAGACAAAAAATTATTTGATACCTGACAAAAGCTCAATTTTAAGCTCACATTTTTCTGATCTAGTGAGTTACAGATAATCATTACACATACCTTTGTTTTTACGCCTCTTAAGTCGAATCTGTGATGAATCAATCAAAATTTGAACAAGTTTTTTCTTTGTCGAGACAGTCGAAACAAAACAATTTTTGGTGGAAAAAGTCGAAATATATCTATGCTGGGTTAAATAAACAAAGTCTTGAAAAAGATATGTCTAGACAGTTGAAAAAGTCAAAACATATCGAATTTTGGTCGAGAAAACTAAAAACAAATTTAAGTTAAATAGAAAAAGTCGAAATATTCTGAAAATTAATCAAGACGGTCTAATTATAAAATTTTTGGCCGAGAAAGTCAAAACATAAATGGAGCACCTCGACCCGGGGACGATGACATTATAATCACAAGCTTTTGGGTTTGAAATCATAGGATCGCGGCCACTGACTTTATTGAGAAATGTTAAAGCTTGGTTTTATGACTACGATTGCTAGTTCTTGTTTCGATTGCAGGCGATCTCGGCTACATGAACGAAGAAGGGTATTTGTGGATCACAGACCGACTGAAGGAACTGATCAAATTCAAAGGGTTCCAGGTGCCCCCTGCCCAGCTGGAGGCAGTTCTCCTCACCCACCCAGCAGTGCAAGATTGTGCGGTGATCGGGATTCCGGAGGAGAGTGCGGGTGAACTACCCAGGGCATATGTCAAGGTCAAGGAAGGCTTCGAGGGAAAGGTCACAGAGAGCGAGATTCAAGCTTATGTTAAAGGTTAGCCGAAGGTTCCAAGCCAAAATGAAGAATGAAATGGCGGGTTCACATTTTTTTGGGTGATGTTTACTGGTCCCGACGATCTGGAAAAATGAATTTTCATCTAACAGTTGATATGTTTCAAATATGATTAAATTTGTCGAATCCGTTTTTTTTGGGGGTGGGGTTATGACAGTGACCGCTGTTCGATTTTTTTTCGCGCCTGCATGCATAAAATCTTCTTGGCTTTCAAAGATTATGTGAAGGTATAATTAAATGCAGTTTTCTTCTAGTTAAACTTTCATCACGTTTTTAGACCAAAAAAACTAAATCATCTGTTTGATTACGCTCAATTTTTTGGAAAAGCTTAGTGAAATTTTAGGTGGAATAACTGAAATTGATCATATTGCGTTTTTTATTTTTCGGTCAGTGAAACAAACTGAACAAACTGAAGGTTGACTTTTAGAAAAAGAGAAACTTAAGAATATGGGAACTTAAGTATATCTGATCCAGCTTCAATATTTCTGTCGTTCGATGTTTCAGAAAGAGTGGCACCTTTCAAACAACTGAAGGGCGGCGTCGCATTCATAGATGTCATTCCGAAGTCAGCGGCTGGCAAACTGCTTCGAAGGGTTCTCAAGGAAAACTACCTCAAGGAACACAAATAGAAAACCTAGAACCTTCTAGAACAATCTTCGGAGCATTCTAGAATAATTTTAATAATCTTAACTATTCTGAAACTCCAAGCAGTAATTGATTCGAGATAAACAGCTTTATAATTTTCTTTTATCAACAAATTTGAAACCCAATTACGAACAAATCTGTTTTGTAAGCAAAGGTCAACAAATTCGAAACCAAAACCTAAATCCGAACCTTGAAACTTTTACTTTCAGATAAGCTATGGTAGATACAAAATACAGTGATATAAGCGAGACTAAAGTAGATTTGAGGTTATCGCCTTATGATCGTTGGGCAAAAGCTCTGCAGAATTTACCCAGTTTTTCTGTCAAAAATTACCGAAAAAGTTTTGAAAAATTCATCAAACCACTATACGATGCGAGCTCTCCAAAAATTCATAAACTGGTGTTCGAAATTGCCAAAAAACCACACATTATATTCGGTTCGTACAATGATGAACTGATAGCGCTTTCGGAAATTCTGAATATTCGATTTGACCTTCTGTTATTCCAGAATATTACATACGAGCTATTTTGTGTTGAAAATCAAAAGAAAGTTCAAAATTTAGTTGGGTGCACTGGAATTATTTGTCTAGCTGATGGAGTTTTGACCTTGGGAAGAAATGTTGACTTTGATTATAATCAGTTTTGGCGGAAGTTCACCTTCAACGCAGAAGTTATTGACGAGCACGGAAAAGGTATACTTTGTACGAAGTTTTAATTTCATCTGACCAAAAATTTCAATTTTGACTTAATACCTTTACTGACTTCAAAAAGGGGAGTAGCTAATTTCATATGAGCCAATATTAGCACGCCCAGTTGGAAATATTTCCTCTTTGATATATTTTAGAGCAGCGTTTGATTTCAAAGGCAGCATTGGGTTGGCAAACGGTAATAGTGCAATAAATTGGTGTAGCACTAAAACGAAATGTGAATTGGCGTGGTAAGTTTCGTCAACTCTCTAGGCGAGGGCGGTCAATGTTTTACAATATGGCGTAGATAAAAAAAGTTTATTGCTTAATCTGTTGTTTGGAACAGTGGCGTATTGCACTTCACAGTTATATGCCAGCGAAAATTTTTGTCGCCGGCTAATCTGGGCGCAAGCTAATTGGCCGATTTCCATAAAAAACATTTACACAGTCAAGTTTTTGGCTAGATAAGCATTTTTTTCAATAGATTTTAAGATCTCATTTTCTGTCTTTTGCGATTTTACAATGCATGATATTGACTTTTGCGAAATTCGCAATCAGAACTCAAAAAGTTGAGACTTTCACAACCACAAGAGTTATTTTCAGATTTTCATGGCGTTCAAGATTTCGTGATTTTTTTCTAGTGGTGATTTGAAACCAAACTTCTACGTTCCTTGTTTTTTGTGTTCCAACCAGTTTGCAATTTAATGTTCATATTTTTAAGACTCACATTGCGGACCTCGACCAACCAACAGAATATTTGAAAACTAATTGTTGAATTGAGTCGACAGGAAAAATTTATTTTTTGATTCCGATGAAGAGTTGAATTTACTTTTAACCCCAGTGGATCTTATTGTTCCGACTTTCGATACGAAAGTAACGGAATATTTGTGCTCGGGGTGGGTTTTTTTTTTCTTCAGACAAATTTCGACTTTTTAACTAGCCATTTTTGACGAATTTTTTTAATATCATTCGAAAGGTATTGTTGTCTTGAGCTCAAATTTGAAAAGATATTTTACCTGTGATTGTTTTTCGTAAAGTTACGGGGGTTTAAAGATTGCCAATTTGGCCAATTTGAGACAATTAACGCGCGATATATTTCGCGCTATTAACGCGTAAACGGAGAGTTAATCCATCATAGAAATCGTTCCAAATTGGTCAGAAGAAGCTTATTTGCCATAATTGGTTTGTTACAAGGAGCGAAATCTATCCTTTTGTACTTAATATGGCGTGTGGGGGGATGATTTTCATAAAAAGTTTCAAATTTTAGAAAAAATTTTTTTTTCATTTTGTTTTACTTCATTGAATTTTTTAATGTTATTACTGCTCAATAAACCTTAAAAGGCAGTCGGAACATTCAGGGCTTCGCCCTGATACGAGCAGTCTTGTTTGCATTGTTCATATAAGGTGTCATAATAAGAGCATACAGAAAACTCCGCTGACTCAGCTGAATTTTGTCTGTTTATCGTCTATGTGATTATTTCATTATTCGAGGTCAGCCTAACATATAGCGTCTTAGATTGTTTAATCAACAACCTACAAACAACCTCTCTCATAGCTTTATCTTCTGTTGAAAGATTACAGTTGATTCAATTCGTATGTATCCCTATTCAAATGTAAGTAAGTGTTATACAATTATGTAACTAAACATCTTAATAATTTACCTTACATTGTCTTAGTTTTTTTTAGTTCGTTTTCTACCGTTTTATTACGATCTAAAATGGTGTTCTTTGAAACTATAAGTATGTCGTCCAAAAAACAGAATAAACATGGTATTCCTTGTAGTGGGTTATCCATTGCCTTCTGAAACTCCTTAGGCAAGTCTGTGAATCAATGAAACCCTGTTTTTAATCAGTAAATTCACCGCAGACGACACTGAAAAAACAATGCGTACTAACGGACTCATCCAAAGCTAGCTGGTTGAATGCTGATTTCAGATCTTATGACACGAACCCTACTACACCTGGATCTTTTGATGTAATGATTTGGGGAGCTGAGTCTAGTAATTCCAGTAGATTCGGAATTTGAAACTTGTTTTTGAACATCTGCACGTTCATCGGCTTAGCGTCCATCGCTTATTTAACTGTTCCGTCCAGTTTGATTAGGCACTAGCGGCAAATTGAAAAGTTAGAAAACTTTGTGATTCTTAGACCTTCCGAGTCGATTGAACACGTTTTATGTTTTTCCATGAATTTCTTCTTCCACAATTCCGACTCTTCGGATTCTTCATTTTCTGCACCTTCAATTTCTTTAACTTGAGAATATTTCGGTTTTACTTGCGTAGTCATTAAGCCAATCTTAGCTTGTATGTCCAAACCTAGTAACCATCTTGTTCGATTGTCTGAAATAAGGAAGTGTACATTTTCAGCCACCCAGCCGTTCGAATGTATTTTAATCACTATTGTGCCGAATAATTTATTTGAATGATGATTGTAGTCGACGTACTTTGTTTTGATTGGGTACTCGTCTAATGATAATACTATTGCGGATTTGTCTTCTTTCAATACTAAATCTGATGTTCGCTGATTAAGAAATGATGCCGGGCCTCCGGTGTCCACCGTGGCACTAAATATTGATCCCGTTGTTCTAAGAATTACATTAAAGAACTTTATGGCCTGTGGCAGCATTTTTGACTTCCAGATTTTGACTTTCTCTACTTCTCGGTTTTCTTCTTTTATTCTCAAAACTGAATATTCGGATTCGCCATCGAGTCTATGAGGTTGCATTAATCCTTTTTTTGATTTGATTCCACATTTTTGACCTTGGATTTCGAGAAATTACAGCATTTCACAAATTGGCACTTTTTCCCCACAGCTGTTACAAAATGCCCCCTTTACTTTACATCCTTCCCTATGCTCTGGCATAAAAATTTTTCCGCAGAAGTAGTAAGGTCTGACTGTGTTCGACAATTTTTTTTCTGAGTTGGAGATCTCTGTTGGTCCGATTTTGCATTTTGTTCCGTGATTAAATAGACTTAGTGGGCTCCTGTTTAATCCTTAACGGGTTTCCAGATGTGCTCGACGATGGGTTCTGCTTCTGTATAGTGTTGGCCGTTACATAGCCCTTTTCTTGCAAAAACGGTGATATCAGGGTTTCATCAATATTCGCGCCTAATCTTATACTTAATTCCCGTTGAATATCCACGAATCTCATTTTGGCTATGAAAATGTCTCTGATTACTTCGTTTTCGGCGTCTTCTGCCCATCCACATTTTGCTGCCTATCCTGCCACTCTGAGCTAGAAAGCCTCCAAACCTTCCTTTTCGCCTTTGTTTGTATTATACAAATGCATTATTTCCACTATGTAATTCTTGTCTTGTTTAAAAAGACGCTCGCATACGGTGTAGAAATCTCTGAAGTTGACAGTATTGAGACTGACGTGGGCGTTTTATCGCTGGAATTTTTTCTTACCCTCGTTGTCTAGTGCGAAAATTTTAAAATTTGAGCTCACGGCAGTCATATTTTACATGGAAATATGTTATGGTCGGTTTAGTCGCGACGTTCCATGAATGTTATTGCTTTGCCATAAAACCTAAAGTTTAAAAAAAAAGCCTGTCATCCCGCATGCTGGTTCATTACGATGCCAGACTCGGGTATTTTGAGAGCGGTTTGGATTACGCTTTTATTGTCTCTGGATTCCGCATAATTTGAGTTGGATTCATCGACGTTTCGAAAGTCTTGAGATAAAAATGTGATGGAATGGAAACACAAAGACTTAAGCACTAGGTGCTAAAACTGAAAATTAGCTACCGAGCAAAAATTTGGAAGCCAGTGAAAGTGCGGATTTTGGAGACAAATACGAAGGCACGCTTTGTTTTGGATTCCGCAGACAAATGTGCTTTTACAAGAAGCATAACGCCGCTGGATTCCACTGTTTTTCAGTGGATTCCGCAATAAATTTGGGCTTTTTGTTGCTGAAATCCACAATTGAGGGGAATACATGAAGAGACTTGTGTCATTAGCGATGAAAGGGGAGAGAACAAGCTGGACTTTATGTTTCTTCTGTGATCAAATGAGTGGTTTAATTGTCTCATTTGCTGATATAATTTGTCTTTCAAATTACAAAAAAAGGGAGATGCAAAAATTGAAGGGGATACGCATAAAACAAAAAAAAATTGAGATGATGAAAAAATGGGACCTATACATGCGTTCAAACAGTTAATAATATGCTTGTGGAACTCTGTCACAAAAAAGAACAATTTGACTGCGGAATCCAGCGACTTTTTGTAGAATCCATTTCAATAGCCTAAACACGTTTGTCTCAGGAATTCACTGACAAAAATTATGTCGGCATTTTGTGTAGGGATTATTTGATTGTGAAAAACCTAGCTTGACGTCGTAATGTTAGTATTCCTATAAAGAGTTATATGTTCTTTCATGTTATGGCCAGCCAAAAACAGAATCGTTAACTGATCTTTTGTTTTTAGTGAAAGTTC